ACACACACACATGCATATACAGGAGTATACACACAAATACAAACACACACATACACATAGAAACACATACACAAAACACATTTTAGTATGAGTTAAAATGGTTTGTTTGGGGCTGGAGAGATGACTCAGTGGTTAAGAGCACTGGCTGCTCTTCCAGAAGTCCCGAGCTCAATTCCCAGCAACCACATGATGGTTTACAACCATCTCTAATGAGATCTGATGCCCTCTTCTGGCATGCAGGCATTGAAAAAAATACAAAAAAATGTTTATAAAATGATTCACTTGAACATTTCAAAGCAGACTTTAAAGATCACCATTTTGATATAATTAATACATTTGTGATGTTTAAAGCTCCTTGTAGCTCCTTGTAGCATCTATAAAATGTAACAGTTTGAGGGGAGGCCCTGGAGATGAGGCATCCAGAGACACAGCTGAATGGAGGAAAAGAAAATGGATCCCCTAATGCCCACAGAGAACACAGCCATACCACGCTGGCCAACAGGCAGCCAGGACAGCTGGTGTATCCATTCCCTGGCCTTTGGAGTCTCAACACACATACATGTGTGTAATAGGCCAAAGGTTGACCTTGAATGTTGTTCCTCCAGTGCTGCCATCCTGTTTTTGAGGCAGGGTCTCTCAGTGACCTGGAACTCACGGTTGGGCTACCAGGCCAGCGAGCAGGCTAGAGGGGCAGGATTCCCTGGGGCTAGGATTATCAATGCATACCACAGCACCCAAAGTTTTCACTTGAATTGTGGGGAATGAGCTTGGGTCCTCTAACTTGCAAGGTGGGCTCCTTAAGAGTTAGGCCATCTCCCCAGCCCTCCACATACCTTTAAAATGGGCTCATCAGTGTGAGCAGAAGCAGCATGGGAGCTGGATTGCCGTATGTGGTGATATATTGCTTATAATCTAATAAAGCTTGCCTGGAGATCAGAATGCAAAGCTAGCCACAGCCGTAGAGGCCAGGCAGTGGTGATACTTACCTTTAATACCAGCAGCCATACTAGTTAGCCATAGAAGCTGGGCGGTGGTAGTGCAGGCCTTTAATCCCAGGGCTCAGGAGACAGAGGCAGATGGATCTCTGTGAGTTCAAGGCCACTCTGACCTACACAAGAGTGAATCAGTCTAAAAAGAGAAACGTCTCATACAAAGGAGATCTCAGCACTTGGGATCCCACACCTTTAATCCCAGAACTAGAGAGGTAGACAAGACCTCAGGGTCCCATGCAGGATTCTGTCTTCAGGAATTAGTCTCCAGCCATATCAAGGACAGGACAGGCCTTTCAGCCTGAGGTAGAAGTGGGAGGTAGTGACCGGCTGCTTTGCTTCTCTGATCTTCAGATTGAAGATTGAACCCCAATATCTGCCTCTGGGTTTTTATTATTCGTGTTACAGCCATAAGTTTGAGACCACTCTAGTCTACATAGCAATTTCCAGGATAGCCAGCACTACATAGTGAGACCCTGTCTCAAACAAACAACAAATGCACACGCACACGCGCACACACACACACACACACACACACACACACACATACACACACACACATTCGGTTTTCATCAGTTCTTTGTTTAGTTTTAGAACTAGGTCACTAGTTCTGACATATTACCTTTACAAAGTAAGGGGTTCACCACATATGCATATGATGTGCTTTGGTCGTATCCCCTCCATCTCTCTTCCTTTATCCCCTCCCCTTTCCCCTTCTGCAACCTCCACCACCCCCTTTAACACTCATGTCCATAATTGCAGTGATATTACATTAAACTTAATCTTTTATGTAATGGTTTATTGAAACATCATTAATTTTTTATTTGTTTGCAGTGCTGGGGACAGAAGCCACAGCCTTGGTTGGCATGCTAGGCAAGTGCTCTACCACTCTACCTCCCTGCCCCAAACCCCATTCATCTGCCTGTGGGTCTTGTTTCTAGTCATCTGGTTACATTGGCTTATTAGTTCTAGTTAATCATTTGCCTCTCATACATAAAAACACATTATTTATGACTTGTAGCATGTATTCCCTCCTAATACTTAGTGTTGTTTTTCTTGCCTTATTGAAATGGTCACCATCAAATGACGCCTTCCTTTGTGTGCCTGTCTGTGCCTTCTGAGTGGTAACCCCCACTCAGTATATGACAAGATTGTCTCTTGGAAAAATCCAGTTTCTGAGCAAGGTCCCATGTGAAGTACCTTGTAATGAAGGCTGTGAGCTTCATTGCATGAGCCCTCAGGAATGACTTGTCATTTGTCTTAGTTAGGGTTTCTGTGGCTGCTACAAAACACCATGACCAAAAAGCAAGTAGAGAAGGAAGGGGTTTATTTGGCTTATACTTCCAGATAATAGTCTCTCATTGGAGGATGTCCAGGCAGGAACTCAAGCAGGTCAGGAACCTGATGCTGAGGTCAGGGAGGGGTGCTGCTTACCGGTTTGTTCCCCATTGCTTGCTCAACCCACCTTCTTATAGAACCCAGAACCAGCAGTCCAGGGATGATACCACCCACCTTGGGCTGGACCTTCCCCCACTGATCACTGATTAAGAAAATGTCTTACAGCTGGATCTCATGGAGACATTTCCTCAACTGAAGCGCCTCTGTGTCTCGTGACTCTAGCTTGTGTCAAGTTGACACAAAGCCAGCCAGTACATCATTCCTGTCCAGCATGCAGAGGGGACTTGCTAACTAGTCTTCCTGGAGTGTCTTGTGGCAAAACTCAACAACTGCAATACCTCTAGGTAAAGCTTCCTCTGGACAGCAGCTTCTGAGACACCTATGTGACAGAGGAGCAGTGCGTGCCCAGTCATCCTCCCCCCCCCAACAAGTGATCCCAGCAACTACCTCTTCCTTCCCACACCAGTTACGCACCTCTCCTCCAATGCTGTCCATCCACATTCAGTGAAAGGCTGAACTCTAACTGGCCCTGTACCTAGAGCCCAACAGAGGAGAGGTACAGCACAGAAAACCACAAGGTCAGATTAAAGGGCAAACTAAGTGTGTCAGGAGTGGGTGCAGGAAACTATAGGAGGAAAAAAGAAGACAGGAGACTGAGTTTGTGATGTGTACACTGTTTATTTAAGGATCCAGGATCAGGACCTGATCTACAGGAAGTTAGAAGGATCAAGACTAGTCAATCTGGGTCAAGGGGCAGCTGTCAGACTGACTTACAAAGAGGAGCAGATAGGGAAGTAAACCTACCAGAGAGGAGGAGAGCAGGGAGCCAGGAGGAGGGTCCAGTGGGTAGGAGTTGCAAGCATCTTTAGTGAGCTGTGGTATGAAAAGCATTGAGCCCCAGGACAAAGCAACTAGACAGTTAGGGTACCTGCACAAGCTCTGTCACCTGAGGTCTGTGACCAGAGTCTCAGATTTTGCACTGGCAACATACAGGGGCACAGCAGCTGGACTGACAGCAGCAGGGCTTGCAGCAGCTGGACTGACAGCAGCAGGGCTTGCAACAGCTGGACTGACAGCAAGAAGACCCACAACCTGAGGAGCAGCAGGGCTTGCAGCAGCTGGACTGACAACAACAGGGATTACAGCAGCTGGATTGACAGCAGCAGGGCTTGCAACAGCTGGACTGACAGCAGCAGGGCTTGCAGCAGCTGGACTGACAGCAGCAGGGCTTGCAGCAGCTGGACTGACAGCAGCAGGGCTTGCAGCAGCTGGACTGACAGCAGCAGGGCTTGCAGCAGCTGGACTGGCAACTTCCACAGGAGCCACAGCCTCCCTTGCAGCCCCCACAGGAGCCACAGCCCCCACAGGATCCACAGCCTCCCTTGCAGCCTCCACAGGAACCACAGCCTCCCTTGCAGCCCCCACAGGAGCCACAGCCTCCCTTGCAGCCCCCACAGGAGCCACAGCCTCCCTTGCAGCCTCCACAGGAACCACAGCCTCCCTTGCAGCCCCCACAGGATCCACAGCCTCCCTTGCAGCCTCCACAGGAGCCACAGCCTCCCTTGCAGCCTCCACAGGAGCCACAGCCTCCCTTGCAGCCTCCACAGCTGGAGCAGGAACAGGCAGGCACACAGCAGCACACAGGCTTGCAGCAGCTGGAGCCACAGCCTCCACAGCTGGAGCCACAGCCTCCGGAACAGCCACAGCAGCTCATGGTTCTGGTGTTGGGTTGAGGATGGAGTAGGTCAGAGGAGCAGGTGTAGAGGGAATGGGCAGGTGTGGAGTCCCCTGAATCTGGGGCCTTTATATCCCTGCCCAGGTCAGGTGGCAGGCGGCACATGGTCACTTCCTGGTTCCTGTCTGTGTCATAGTCTAGGTGTTATCTATTACTTCTGCTTTCCTTGTGCCTTTCCCAAACAGACTGCCGTGTCTCCCAAGGAATGTTGCTCAGTAAACATTAGCAAGTGTCTGGTAGGTGCCTCCTTTCTTTGGAGCTATAGGGAAGCACAGATACAGGAATGAATGACTTGGGTAACTTGGACTTGCTAGTTTATTTGAGTATGGCTTCTGTATTGTTCTTCCCAAGACCACTTTTTACAATTTTCTGTAAAGACAGGGGTTCTCTATGTAGGTAGTTTGGGCCGGCCATGAACCCACTATATATCCCAGGCTGACCTGGAACTTGCAGCTATCCTTCCTGCCTCAGCCCAATTGCTGGGATTACAGCTACGTCCTGAAGCAGAACCAGGACACTGGTCATGGCATTTAGGAGTCTTACCTAGGGACTGATTCTTCAGGTCTGGCGCCTGGGCTCAGCTCTGTTGTCTGCTGGGCTATTGACTGCTCAAGACATCACGGGAAGCTTTACGTGTAGACTGAAATACCTTCAGAAGACTTGATCTCAAAGCTCAGCTCCACTCCACATAGTGAGTATTTCTGTCTATAAAGGACACATTCTAGGCCTTTCAGACTATTGCCCAGGGGTAGACAGGTGTAGGTAGTATACCAGCTGTCCAATGACACGTAAATGCAATTTTGTGTAATTATGTCTAGAATCCTGCCTGGGGTTTTAGCAGGGGAGGTGCTCCGTGTTGTTCCTCCAGAAGCCACGCGATGTCGCTGTGAGAGGCCGGCTGTTCCGCAGCCGGGCATTCTCCAGAGGTTCCTCTTGCCGCCTTTCCCGGTCCATTCTCCTCACTCTCTATCGTGTTTCAGAAGTAGCAGTACATCCCGATGCAGGTGCAAAGATGCCGAAGAAAGCCTTGCCAGCACGAAGCGCACCTCGGAGCATCCAACCCATCCAGGATGGGACCCGGCTGACAGTTGGAAAATGCCTCCTCTGAAGACCGAGTTTCAAAAAGGTGCAGGGTCCCGATCCAGTTCCCTGGAGCCCCCTTATGTCTTCTACTCCCATCCAAGTAGTTATAACTCACCAAATTCTGTCGGAGCAACTCTAACTACGCTCGACCAGGCTCCTTCTGAGGACAGAGGGGACCTCACTCTCGCAGGCCCTTGTTCTTCAGACTCCATTTATTGTCTTTAGGATTTTAGGTCTAACCGGCAGAGGGAAATTATAAGCCGTTCCCACTGAACCATCAACATGGCACAACACACCAGGAATCTCCTGTTTTGATAGTTGCCATCCCTAAATGGGTTTTGAGTCTTGTTCTCCAGTGTATGTGTGTGTACATGACACAGGCATGCTTCTAAGTGTGCACTATTTATTGTGAATATACACATTTTATCTTTTTATGCTTCAAATACTAGTGTGTTTTAGCATCTTGCTTTCCACTGGGGCATGGGAGCATCTCCTGCAGATTTAGCATCAGAAAGGAGTTTAAAGAACTCTAAAGACAACAAACTAAGTCTGGGCATGGTGATGCACGCCTGCATCAGGAGGACTGTCACAAGTTCCAAGCTTGGTTGTAGAGCAAGACCATACTGAAAAGGGAGCAAAACCTGAGAGGAGTAAGCATACAGCTATGACCGCTTCAAAACCAGCTTTATAAGACCAGGAACAACTTCCATTAGTGAGCTTGAAAACTTGGAGGAATGGACACATTTCCTGGGAAGTGAAATTGTCTAATTATAGGAAATAATTTTGAAAAGTTGGACAAACCAATAAAACCTTGGATGTCACTGAAATGTTTCTCAGATCTTTGGCCCCATAAAATCCCAAACTTGGAAGGTTCACACCTGAGTTCTCATAGATGTTCCTGTGAATGGAAAAATTACCCAAGAGGGAAAGATGAAGACTTCGAAGCAAGAAAGGGCTGTCACATCAGAGATGGAGACCCACAGCATCGCCCGCCAGAGTACACAGCTTTTAAATCAAATATTTAAAAAGTCAATGTGGCTATTTTGTGTAATAAGGCACAACCAAAGAGAGTCTATACAAGAATAGAGGAAGGATTCACTGTCAGAAAACATTGTGGGCTGCAGAGATGGCTCAGCCATTAAAGGCTAGGCTCACAACCAAAAATACAAGAAAAACCCTCATAAGGCAGATGTGACTGCCATGCCCAGGATCCCAGCAAGCAGGAGGATGACTGCTTCAAGTTCGAGGACAGCCTGGGCTATACAATGAAGCTGTGTCTCAAAAGGGGGAAGGAATGGTAGGAAGGGGAGGGGGAGGGGGTGGAGATGACTCAGTTGGGAAAGCGTCTGCCTTGTAAACATTAGGACCTGACTTTTAGTCTCAGAACCTGAGCAAAAATGCTGGCAATTGCTGGGAATGGTGGCACAAGCTTTGAACGCTGGCACTCAGGGTGTAGGTAGGCAGATCTCTGTGAACTGGAGACTAGCCTGATCTGTACAGCAAGTTCTAGGACAGCTTAGATAAGAGTAACACCTCATTTAAAAAACAAAACAAAACATCCAGGGCAGGTAGTGCATGCTTGTAATTGCAATGCTGGGTAGGTAGAATTTGTTATGAAAGAAAATTCTTTAACAAAGTCTTTGTAGCCCACACAAGGTTTTGTAACTTCTATCTTATACCACAAGTAGCACAGTTGTATACAAACTGTACTTTCAGTCAACCGTTTAACATGCTTCTTGTTTATCTAAAACGCTTGCTCTATAGGATTAGATATCTCTAAATCCTGTGATGAGCTTTGCTCTCTCAGCCTCAGTTTCCATCTGGGAGCAGCAAAGCAAAACTATCCCACTGAATTTCCAGTCAAATTCAAAATTGACATTTCGCTGGGCGGTGGTGGCGCACGCCTTTAATCCCAGCACTCAGGAGGCAGAGGCAGGCGGATCTCTGTGAGTTCGAGGCCAGGCTGGACCAACAGCCTCCAAAACAACACAGAGAAACCCTGTCTCATAAAACAAACAAACAAACAAAATTGACATTTCAATTAGTTGTTATTTTATTTATATTTGATGGATGTAAAGCTCTATATAACTACTTTGGTCTTTCTATTTCAAATGTTATAGCTAACTATTAAATTCCTGCACTTAGCTATCCACTTTCAAAGAAAGAGAGAAAAAAGAGTCAATATTTCCCTATAAATTAATATAGTCCAAAAACTGATCCTAAAATTCTCACATTCACACACACAAATTTTAAGATAGGCTTGCCAAAAATTAATTTTATTATGGAATGGGTTAAGGAAAAGATACACACAAAACTGATGGGGTCAGAGGTTTACTGCTGTGGATTCTGGGTTCAAATTACACTTTGCCCCAATTTGTTTTAACACATAGTAGGTCTGAAAAGGATTAGTCATCTGGACGCTCCCTAGGGAGCACGGAGCTGGCAAAAGCTTGATAATTGCACAGTTCACAAACCACAACAGAGATCTCCCCAACACCCCTGCTTCTATCTCATCCCAATGGCTCAACAGATACCCAAAGACCAAGATATTTCAGCCTTCCAGAACTCTGAAAGACAAAGCCAATCTGCTCCAGCCTGCAGGGCACAACGGTTCAAGCCCAGGGCACCTGGAATGAATGAGACAAGAGACAAGGGGGAGATGGACAGCAGGACAACATGGCTGATCAAGCTGCTGTTTGATGAAAGTTCTGTACAGGCTTACATAGGGGAATATGGCTTGTTCATGGGGCGGAGGTTGTTAGATCCAAGATAGGGGGAGGGGGAGCCGAGTGAGGGGAGTGAGGCAGGGTGCTGTGAGGAGCAGGAAGCATTTGATAGGAGAGAGAGCAGGAGATCTCACCAGGGAATGTAGGTGTTAGTGAGGCATTATTATCTCTGGCACAGGGCCATGTGTGGGAAGGCGCCTGAGTTTTGGGATGTGCCCTGAGGTAAGATGTAGATCCAGTGACCTGGTCCCTAACACCAATCATCAAACAGCAGTGGCTCAAATGGTTGGGAAAGAATCTAAATAGCTCAATGGAACCCCATACCCACAGGAGTACAAGGCCCAATGTGTACCAACTAGGGAGAAATTCACTGAGGGTCAAATTTTCTCAGAGTCTAAAACAAAAACCAAATACATGTTTTGAGACTGAGACATGTGGTAACTCCTAGACAGTAAGGGTGAGATCTATGATAAACCATGAACTAGATTGATGGGCCCTCCACTGAGTGAGCCAATAATTCTGGAACCAGTCAGAGGGAAGATATTTACTGAGCGTGCATTCCTTACTGGCTCTGCCTCTGATGTGCTCAAAAATGGCCCATCTCAATTAGATAACTCCAGTCTCCACCATAAGGCTCAGAAAAGCCCACTGGGCCCCTCCTATGACTGGGGGTTCTTCCTCACTTTCCCTTAGTACATCTGCAGCTTTGGAGACTATCAGTCATCCAGTACCATTGCTGTAAGAATAAAATCTGATAGTTCATTCAAAGGTGCCTTGAGCCAGCATAGGTCCAAATACAGATGAACAGAAAAACACTGGACCACTGTTAGTCATCCCCACCCCCAAATCCTGCAACCAGACTAGGAGTCTAGAGTGGACGCTCACTGATGGCCAAGCTTGTCCAGCAAGGCCACATACCTGATACACTTTAAAGTGAACAGGATATAAAACGAAGAGATAAACCCACACACATTTTGTTGTTGTTGAGAAGCAGCAGAAAGATAGGACCAGATGATGGCTACGAGTGTACCCTCCTAATTACTCAGCCGAAAAGGAAGGGGTGGGGGCCTTTTTGCCACACATGCGGGCTATAGGATGTGTTCTTTTCACTCATGCAGTGTACCAACCATTCTGGACTGAGGCCCAGCCTTGCAAAGTCGTAAAATCAGCATTCTCACTTTTGCTGCTCTGAGCCTCCAGTGCTCTTATGTACAAAGTAAGGATCCCTGTGTCTCACACTAGCTTCCCAGTTAAGCTCACCCAGAGCCTAGAAAGGCTGTTGCTCTAAAAAAAAACATATCAGCTTCTCTACTTTACCCACAGAGGTGAAAACAACTGATGCTCTCTGGAGTGGGAAGATGAGGAAAGTGTCTTAGGTAAAGCAATTCTGCCCCTGTGTGAGTCCACTCAACCTTCCTCCTCCCATCATGGCTCTTACTGTGAGGGTCTTCTGACTGGCCACCAAAGTTCTTACTGAGGTTCTTAGGGTCAGGAGCCTGGGTCCTGGCAGCCCTAACAAGCTAGGCTCAACCAATCACCTCCAATAGCAAAAACCAGAGACAGGAGATTCACCCACTCACACTGAAGAGAAGAGCAAAGAGGGCCAGTTCATCTTCTGGGTCCTGGCATGATGTTCTGATTAAAAGGGAGCAAGAGGTACACATAGCTGAGCAGTCCCGGTCAAGATGTGGTCCAGCCCATCACTGACCCTTCATTGCCTTGGCTCCTGCAAGGTGATCTCTTCCCTCTTAATAAATCCTCTCCTTCCCCGAAACTGTCGGTCCATACAACTCTTTGTAAAAAGGCACAAGAACCTGGGAACTCAGAATCTGTCCTCTAGACTTATATCTGTGTCTATGGCAATGGAGGCTCACTATGAAGTCCTGGTTGGTCTGTAACTCACTATATAGACCAGGCTAGTTTAGAACTTTGAGATCTGTCTACCACTGTCTCTCAGGTACTGGGATTAAAGGTGTCCATCACCTCAACTGGCAAAAGTTGGTTTTACAACACTAACCTTACACTTGATGACATTTTCCAAGAAAATAAAGCCATCTTGGGGAGACAGAACAGGGAAATTCAGCCAAAGCATCCTTGTGGAAACCCAGATATGGCATGTCCCATGTAAAGAAGAGGCAGGTGACCTGGAGAGTCATAGGATTCAGGTCCAATGAGGAAGCTAACAAAGTGACAGACTGGAGAAACTGAGTGTTGAGGTGGATGAGTGGCAACCTGAAATCCAGGAAGCAAGCAAACAAACACCCAGGAAGTGCAACAGTCATGGGATGGGAGCAATGCTTACTGCTGTGTCTTTTTACAGCTCAAAGGAAGGGGCCTGAGCATATTCTGGACACTTGTTAATTTTTACTGGGAAGCATCATTCCCTGAAAAGTGTGACAGTCTGTTTGGGAAAGACACAAGGAAACCAGATGTAATAGATAACACCATGCAGAAGAGAGTCCTAGACTATGACACAGACAGGAACCAGGAAGTGACCATGTGCAACCTCAACCTGACCCTGGACAGGGTTATAAAGGCCTCAGACCCAGGAGGCTCCACACCTGCACACGTTCCTCTACACTTTCTCCTCTGACCTACTTCATCCTCAACCCAACACCAGAACCATGAGCTGCTGTGGCTGTTCCGGAGGCTGTGGCTCCAGCTGTGGGGGCTGTGGCTCCAGCTGCTGCAAGCCTGTGTGCTGCTGTGTGCCTGCCTGTTCCTGCTCCAGCTGTGGGGGCTGTGGCTCCAGCTGTGGGGGCTGTGACTCCAGCTGCTGCAAGCCTGTGTGTTGCTGTGTACCTGCCTGTTCCTGTTCCAGTTGTGGGGGCTGCAAGCCCTGCTGCTGTCAGTCCAGCTGTTGCAAGCCCTGCTGCTGTCAGTCCAGCTGTTGCAAGCCCTGCTGCTGTCAGTCCAGCTGTTGCAAGCCCTGCTGCTGTCAGTCCAGCTGCTGCAAGCCCTGCTGCTGTCAGTCCAGCTGCTGCAAGCCCTGCTGCTGTCAGTCCAGCTGCTGCAAGCCCTGCTGCTCTTCAGGGTGTGGGTCATCTTGCTGTCAGTCTAGCTGCTGCAAGCCCTGCTGTTGCCAATCTAGCTGCTGCAAACCCTGCTGCTGTCAGTCCAGCTGCTGCAAACCCTGCTGCTGTCAGTCCAGCTGCTGCAAGCCCTGCTGCTGTCAGTCCAGCTGTTGCAAGCCCTGCTGCTGTCAGTCCAGCTGTTGCAAGCCCTGCTGTTCTTCAGGCTGTGGGTCATCTTGCTGTCAGTCTAGCTGCTGCAAACCCTGCTGCTCTTCAGGCTGTGGGTCTTCTTGCTGTCAGTCCAGCTGCTGCAAGCCCTGCTGCTCTTCAGGCTGCGGGTCATCTTGCTGTTAGCATAGCTTCTGAAGCCCTGCTGCTGTATCCCCATGTGCTGCCAATGCAAGATCTGAGGTTCTTAACTTGATCCTGTCCTAAACTGGCTTCCTTAGCTGTGGCCTTCAGTTTATCACCAGGTTTCACAGGTACCTTTAGCACCTCTGCTTTCCACAGTACCAAGTCAAAATTGGTTTCCAGTTCCCAAGAAGAGGCCATCTTCTCATCCACGGTCTCATAACAAATTCTTCTCTGGAGTCATACTACCTATAGTGTCTTCACCATAGCCGACCCACATAGCCATCTGCACCCATGAGACATTCCTGCCAAGTCTTTTTAACTTAGCAGGAGCCAGCCCTTGGTGTTGCTGCAATAAGGTGAGTATAAAGACTTTTCTTGGACTGGTATGCCAAGAAATAGCAACCCCTGCTTTTATCTTACATTGAATATCACAAGCCAAATAAAACAAATTCACATGAACCAACTGCAACCATGCCTTATTCATTCTGTAACTTGCTATCACTCCATGGTTTCCACTTTTCCTAGTTGTTTTGTGTGGGACTCCACAAGCCTCACGGTGGTGCTGGGGGCAGCTAAGGTCTCTCCTGTCTCACATCTCCTTCTATCTGTCTCCTCCCTCCCTCGGGACCCTGCTCTATTTGTGCCTTACTAGATTTGGTTGGAGCGACACCAAACTGCTAGGCCAAAGAGGCTCTGAAGCTATGGCAGCTTCTGGCTGGGTCAGACCCACCCCTCTGACAACTCCCTTTGGAAGGCTCTGACATTTTCAGTGGGTGTTTAAGTGCAGATCTAGCACACACACATACCCTCACCAAGCCCTTCTCTCTGGAGCCTTTTCACCTAGCTTCCAGCAGGTGGCACTCTTTCCTAACACAGAGCGGTCTGTAAAGGAGTCAGTCCTTCAGCAGAGGAGAGCTGTGCACCCAGTCTTCCCTCTAAAAGTTCTCACAAGCCCCCTTGGCTCTGAGAAGTGAAGACACTAATTCAAGAGCAGCTTGTGTCCTAAGTAAAGGAAAGCACAAAAAGTAAAGGTCTGGTCCTGCTGTTCAGGACCTGTGTAGGGGCGGCAGTGAAACTAATGATACTCTGAGGACCAGAGTTGCTAAGGGAAACTGGGAACTCAGGATGCATGGCTGGTGGGAGCAAAGCCCTAGTTCTTGAATTAGGCACATATGTATGAAACCAAGATGTATTTTTCTTTAGTTAATGTAATTTACTTTATTTAGTGATATGGACATGAATATATATATATATATATATACACACACATACAAACATATGCATATGCACATATACACACATGAACATGCTCTCTCTCTCTCTCTCTCTCCCTCCCTCTCTCTCTCTCTCTCTCTCTGTCTTCAGGTAAAGGTTTTCGCCTTTCACCTTGGATTCTGGGACTGTCAGGCTTGCCCTGTAAGCACTTTTACCCTTGGAGCTATCTTGACAGTCTTACTTTTTTTTTCTTTAATAATATAGAATTCTAAACTGGGCTTATTGTCTCACACCGATAATCCCAGCATTCAGGAAACCGAGGCAGGAGGATTGCCATGTGTCATAGTTAGCTTTAGCTGTCAACCTGACACAAACACTTGGGAAGAGCAAACCTACACTGAGGAACAGCCCAGAACTGATCGGCCTGTGGGAATGTCTGCGAGGCATTTTCTTGACTGATGACTGATGTGGGAAGGCCCAGGCCACTGTGGGCGATGCCCCCCCCGGTGGGTGGTCTTGGGTTGTGTAGAAAAACAAATAGAAGCCACAGGGGGCAAGGAGTAAGCAGCGTCCTCCAGTCTCTGCTTCATTTCCTTCCTCCAAGCTCCTTCCCTGACTGCCCTTCCTGATAGACTACGAACTATGAGGTCAAATAAACTCTTTCCTCCCAAAGTTGCTTTTGGTCATAAGTTTTTGTCAGAACCTGTTTTTTCCAAGGTAAACACTCAGAGACTTAATATTAATTAGAAATGCTTGGCATATAGCTCAAGCTTATTACTAACTAGCTCTTACAACTCAAATTAACCCATTTATATTAATCTACATTCTGCCATGTGGCATTACTTCTCTTTCATTTTGCACCTTCTGTTTCCTCTCTGTGTCTTGCCGGCGACTCCTCTGACTCCATCCTTCTTCCCAGTGTCCTTAGTCTGGTTCTCCCGCCTAACCTTATCCTGTCCAGCTATTGGCCAATCAGCTTCTTTATTAAACCAATCACAGTGACATATATTTATACAGTATGAAGGAATATTCCACAGTATTTATCACAGCAATAGAAAACAAACTAGGACACATAGTGTGTACCTTTCCCAAAGTGCAGAGGGAGCTAGTCTGGATAGCATAGTTGAGTCCATCAGAGTTGACTCAGAAACCTCTCATTACAGGAATTGTGACCTTGGTTTATAGGCTGGGCAGCGAGTGAGAAGGGAGGTATTAGCCTCTTGCCTCTGGGGTGAAACTGGGAAAACTCGATGCTCGCTCTGTGCTGGCTACTGTAGCGGCAGTTAGTGAAGGAATGGGATACATGAACTTAATGCATTATCTTACTTGCAGAAGAAAAGACGTGGAAAATGAATGGAAAATTGGGAAAACCACAGAGGAGAGTCAAATTTAAGAAAGATAAAGCCAGTTTACTTTATTTTATTGTAATGTGTGTCTTAGTTACAGCTGTTATTGCTATGACGAGACACCATGACCAAAGTAACTTGGAGAGGAAGGGATTCATCTGGCTCACACTTCTATATCGCTGTTCATCACCGAAGGAAGTCAGGACAAGAACTCCAACAGGGCAGGAACCTGGAGGCAGGAGCTAATGCAGAGGCTGTGGAGTGGTGCTGCTTTTGACTTACTCCCCATGTTTTGCTGGGCTTGTTTCTTCTTCAATCCAGGATCATCTGCTCAGGGATGGCACCACCCACAATGGACTGGGCCCTGCCCTGTCAATCAAAAGACAATGCTTTACAGGCTTACCTACAACCCAGTCTTATGGAGGCATTCTCTCAGTTGAGGTTCCCTCCTCTCAGATGACTTTAGCTTGTGCCAAGTTGACATAAAACTGCAGCACAATATGTGAACATGTATAGAAGCCAGGGGGCAGCCTGGGTTGTCACTGTCAGAAACTTTGTCCACCTCCTTTGAGGCAGGGTCTCTCACTAGCCCGAGGCTTGCTGACTAGACGAGGCTGGCCGGCCAGTGAGCCCAGGGATTCTGGTGCCTCTCTCTTCCTTGAGCTGAGACTCTACCTGGCATTTCACATGGGTTCTGGGAATGAAACGGGGGTCTTTGTACTTGCAAAGGGCATGATGAGTGCTTTACCAAAGGAGCTGTCCTACCAGTTCTGAACGAATCCATTTTAAATGTCCACCTCAATGCTACTCACACACACACACACACACACACACACACACACACACACACACACACACACACACAGCCTGTAGTAGATGCTTCTTCCTATATGGTAGGGTAGGAGCTGCTGAGGAACCAGTAGCTCAGGAATGAACACTGCCCAGCTTCGACTAGCAGCTCTTGTGTGTATCTGTCTTGCTGATGGAGGAGTTCTTCCGTGGAAGAGGAAGAGCCTATAGCCCAGGAAACCTTGAGACCTACAGACCAGGATCAGACCCACCAACACAACCGTTGTCAGAGAAATGCCTGCTGCTACTGTGGGCCCATTGAAAACGGGATGGGACATGACTGCGTGTGTGTCTCCATCTGTGAGTGCACACACGCGTGTCTGTTAAGATAACTGCTATTCGTAAGTGGATGAGCAGCTAAGTACTGCACTATTCCCGACATGATCAATGTATTAATATTTTCAAGACGGAATGACTTTTTTCCTGACTAAGAACTTGAATAACTGAACTGGAATGGTCGGACCCTTGTGGCTAGCTAGTCTGGAGGGGCTCAGGTATGGAACAAGTCCTGGGGGGGGGAATACTAGCATGTTTCTGTTGTAAGGTCAAAGACAAACTGTCCTGAAGTGAATGGATGATGACAGCTCAGGCCTCCAGAATTCTTCTTGACTCCCAGTAGCCTCATCTTCTGGGCTCCTTTTAGGCTATCCATCTGGAGACATGTTTGACAGGATGTACTATGTGACAATGACTAGCAGGCACTAACTAAGGCCTTGTCTTAGTTAGGGTTTACTATTGCTGTGACGAGACACCACAGCAACTCTTATAAAGAAAACATTTAATTGAGGTGACTCGCTTACAGTTTCAAAGGTTCAGTTCATTATAACTATGAAGGGGAGCATGGCAATATGCAGGCAGACATGGTGCTAGCTACATCTTGCAGGCAACAGGAAGTCATCTGACTGTTGCACTAAGTGAAGTTTGAGGGAAAAAAGACCTCAAAGATGGCCCCCACAGTGACACACTTCCTCCAACAAGACCACACCTACCCCAACAAGGCCACACCTCTTAATAGTGCCACTCCCTTTGGGGGCCATTTTCTTTCAAACCACCACAGGCCTGTGAAGGTCAAATCTAGACAGAAAACTGAGGTTACAGGGGGAGAAAGAAGGATGCATGGGTGAGTCTGGTCTAGGAGATCAGTCAGTGGGGCCACCAATACCCCCTGATATGCTTTGGAACCAGCTCCTTCCTGGCCTATTCCATCATGGTAATAATGGGTGGCTCCACCCTCCCAGTGCTCAGGCCAGCCTACTTAGTGTCACCACCCACTTCCAAACAGAGGCAACACCCATTAATTGAACCTTTGAAATACACTTAGGATTTAATTAACCAATTGCCTAACTGGTAATTTAGTTAACTACTACTTTTGCTGCCACACCCAAGCTCAATGGCACTTGCTAACTGCCACTTACCACTATCATGAAAGTTATAAACATCAACACCCCGCAGCAATCAGAAACTCTTCTGAGCTGCCCACTCCTTTCTTACAGATTTAATGGTCCATTTCTGGATAGCTTTGGTCTCATATATAGTCACAACAAAGCATAAAGAGAACCCAAGTTACCTGTCCCAGCTTTCACACCCTGA